TGCCATCACAAGGGTGTATTCTTGACTTAACAACCAAGGTTTGTCTTTACTGGAGTAGGGCAATACAGTAATCAAAATCTTCAAAAAAACCACAGTGCAATCACATTGTGAATGGGTTGTTTGTGTTTTATATCTACACTTCAATGTAACTATATAGCAAGGATGCTAAATCATAGTGTGAACATTATGCCCTTGGTTTTGATGGCCTGTTAAAAGAAAAATAGTGAAGATACTTTGTGTTTGACTTGTTTATTTATTTGTTTACACACATTTATACTCTACTAAGATGTCTTCAAAGAGAAAGAATCTTGAGTCAACTGAAGGAAATAGCAGGAAGCAAAGGAAAGCCATCAGTTTCAGTTTTAAGACGACGATCATCAAAGCTTATGATGCCAGGAAAAAGGTGAATACTATAGTACGAGAAGAAGGCCTGGCCCATTCCACCATCCCACTATTGAAAGATAAGAAAAGGATGTCCAGGAATGAAAGAAGTTATAATAAAAGAGTGAAAAGGCCTGATTCACAAAACAGAAAAACTTGCTATATTTTGGATCAAAGATCAGATACAAAAGAGGATGCTGATTGACCATCTTATTATTCAGGCTAAGACACAAAGAAATGAGGTGAGTGCACCAAAACGTTCATTGCCAGCCATGGTTTCAGTGAAGATTTTAATTACCACAACATACACAAGAGGTGAAGCTGCAAGCACTGATGAAGAAGCTGCCAAATATTTTTTGGATGATCTTGATGATAACATAGGGAATTATTTTCCTGAACAGATATTCTACATGGGTGGAAGAAAATGGCAAAGCGGACCTATATGCACAAAGAGGCCAATGCAACGTCCAGATGTAAAGCAGTTAAGGATAGAGTAGCCTTTCTGTTAGGCAGAAATGTCACCGGATTCAAGCTGAAGCATTTCTGATCAAGAAATCATATAACTCCCATTGTTCAAAAGTAAGCATATGCTGCCTATCGATCTAGTTGGAAAGTGAGTGATCCATGTCCGTTTCAAGGATTAGTTTATAAATTACTTTATAGATCAAGTAAAATACTGCTTACAAAAGAAAATTCCCTTTAAAATTCTGTTCCTTGACAATGCTCCTGAGCATCTCCCACATCTTGATGACCTCCAGCCAGTTTATCTACCAAAAAACACAATCCCTCTCCACAATCCCTATGGATCAAGGAGCCATCCTGATATTCCAGGCATAACTATATATGTGTAATATTTGCCAAAGCCATAGTTACAATGGAAGATTATAGGGTAACATTACATGAATTTTGGAAAGGCTATGCTATCCTCCATTGTATGAGAAATGTCAAAGTAGCATGGCAGGATGTTAATGTGAAACGCGTGCGACATATTTGGATATAATGTTTTAAAACATTTTGCTGTTCTTGTAAATAATTTTGAAGGATTTGACCCAAATGAAAATAAAATGTCAACTCATAAAATTCTTTGATTTAGAGCCTGATACTGCATATGTGAAAAAAATAGTAGCCAACATTGAGGGAGAGCTTTCAAATGAAGGTTTAGTTGAATTGAAGGAAGAATTGGAAGCACAAAGTTTTGTGGAAGAAAGGAAGAAGAGGAATCCAAGATTGAATGGATTCCAAGATCCAAGACATCAACAAAATTTTATCAGAATTGGAAAGTATGGGTCTAAATTTAGAATGTTTTGGAAAGGTACATTGGGAAATGTATGAAATCTCAAAAGTGTAACCATGACATATAAAAAGAAAAAAAGGGCTAACTAAGCTTAATGGATTCTTTAAGAAAGTTACTCCTTCCTCAACTTTGCTTTCCTTCCCATCACTTTCCCCATCCACAGGACTAGAAGACCCAGCCAATCCTCAGCCATCAGCCATCATATCAGTGTATCTAATTTTTCCAAGGACAAAGAAAAATAGATAATTTATAGATAATTTAATGTTTGCTGGTACTGTAATTGTAAATTATTATGCCTAATTTTTTACTTAGATAATAAACCAACTTTTCAAACACAGTTTCCATTTAACCTTTTTTGTTTCTTTTTATTTAGGCTGCTTGTTAAAAATGATGCATTAAACCAAAGCTTAAAAGATATAACTTTTAAATTGTCATAATCACGTGCAAAGACTGAAAAATAATTATTAATACAGTGTATTTTTATGGCAAAAATGGTTAGAATGAAAGGAGTTGAATGTATATGTTACAACTGCTTCATGAAGGCTAAAAAAATTGAGCATGGAACGCTGAAGTAAAGTTGTGAGCTGAGTTGCATTCATGCCTAGGCTATCATGATATTCACTTAGCTACCATTTCACTTAGTGTTTGGAATGAACCTTGGTTGCTAAATAAGGAATGGGTGTAACATGAATTTCTAACAAATCTAATATCTTAGTGGAGTTTTTTTTGACCACAAAATCACTTTGGCTGTTCAGTGGTTGCTTTCAGCCAGGCTATCTGTGGTCTTAGAAGAAGAAGATGGGAGAACAACAAAGACGATAAAGGGGGGGAGGGCTTTAATTTTGCATCACCTTTTCTTTGTGCCATAATTGGTAGGCGTGGAATTGCCTGTTTTATAGTGGGTGGTAATCCTTTGTTCCAAATGTCTAATGAGAAAAATGGGGAAAGATTTGGAAAACAAGTGGCTCAACTGATAATTGTCCCTGCTCCAGTAAATTTATTGGGTGACTTTTAAGATTTTCATTAATAAACCGTAGCTCGTCTCCCAAATCATCTTCTGTAATGTGGTTCTCACTTTGTGTGTGTATGTGTGTGTGTGTGATTGTCTTATAGGAGGGTAAATAATTTCCTTCCATTCAGGTATAATTTTGACTCACAATACAGTTTTTTCTTCTCTTTGTAGCAAAAATGGCTCAAGCAGCAATGGCGGCAGCAGCAGCATCCAGCCATGATGAGGACTCGTCTGAAAGCAGAATGGTGGTTACCTTTCTCATGTCAGCCCTTGAGTCAATGGTAAGATACAGTATGAATCTGCTGCAGAGGTAGGTTTCAGCAGGTTCTGACCAGCTCTGGAGAACTGGTAGCGGAAATTTTGAGTAGTTCGGAGAACTGGTAGCAGAAATTTTGATTAGTTCAGAGAACCGGTATATACCACCTCTGACTGGCCCCGGCCCCATCTATTCTCTGCCTCCCAATTGATCGGGAGGAAATGGGGATTTTGCAGTATCCTTCCCCTGCCACACCCACCAAGCCATGCCACGCCCACCAAGCCACACCCACAGAACCGGTAGTAAAAAATTTGAAACCCACCACTGATCTGTACTGTGACTTTTCCCACAGAGCTTATATCTCCAGGGACTTTTTTATATATGTTTGTCTGTTTCTCTTTAATCATCAATTCATTTGCAAAACAGACTAGAAATATTTGACAGACTAGACCATTGTTTCCTAGCATTGCATCGGAGTATTGTACAGGTAGTCCTCAATTTACAACAGTTCATTTAGTGACCGTTTGAAATTATAATGGCACTGAAAAAAGTGACTTATGACCATTTCCCACAATTATGACCATTGCAGCAACCCCATAGTCACGTAATATCCATTCAGATGCTTGACAACTGGTTCATATTTATGGCATTTGCAGTGTCCCGGGGCCATGGGATCCCCTTTCGCAACCTTCTGACAAGCAAAGTCAATAGGAAAGCCAGATTCACTTAAATCATGTTACTAATTTAACAACTGCAGTGATTCACTTAACAAATGTAACAAGAAACGGGGCAAAATTCACTTATCAAATTTCTCACTTAACAACACAAATTTTGGGCTCAGTTGTGGTTGTAAATCAAGGAGTATCTGTAGAGGGAAAAATAGGAAGCAGAGTTACTCATCTGACTCAGTACAGAAACCAACAGTATTTGATTTCTCCTGTATAGAACCTTTTTCATTCCAGGTGGATGTGGTTTGTAAGTCAATAATTCTCAGCTACAAGAAACAAAAGAAAAATGTTTCCCTTCTCATCCTCCTTGACATCTTGAATGATAGTTGCTTCATACATGCTTTAACTAGTCTCTTTTATAATCCCTCAAATTTGGCAATGAAAATATAAAATTTGGGACATTTACTTAGTGCCTCTACTTTGAGTCATGTTGTTTCCCCAGTGTAGGCATGTGAATATGAACAATCAGTTCTTATCAGGACCCTCATGTGACTAGTGGTAGTCAAACACTGCCAGTTTAATGTTCGAAAAGGACTTTGGTTTTTCAGAACGTTTCCCCTTGTGTCACATGTGTCTTTGCTAGAGAAACAGCAGGTAATTAGGCTCCTTCATTTGGTTTGTCTGCACCACTAATTAAACAAAAGCCCTTAGAAATTGTACTTGGATTTCTAATAGCATTTCCAATTTGTAAAAATTGGAAGTGGCTAAATTTAATTTTCAAATTTCAGTTTAAGAACTGCCATTGTTAATGCCTATAACATTATTTCAGTAAAATGGGTTATTTTTCACTGCTATATGTTGCCTGTCAGGGTTCCAAGTAACACCCCCAACGAAATTAAACTCCAAGGCTTGAAATTTCTTCAAAACTAACTTTCATTAGAGATGTCATATTGGCACATCTGGGAAAACCAAATCTGAAAGCTTCTGGGTTTTCCTCACCCACAAGAGAGTTCAAGACCTTTCCCACTTGTCCACACAGTTCCAATCAGTTCTTTCCCGAACAGAAGACATCCTCCAATTTCTTCTTTGCACAGCTGCCGGACACCATGGCCTTGAACTTCTCTTAGAGAAGTTTGTTATGGCTATCTCTACTTGACTCATGCAATCCCCCCTCCCAACTTTCCACAGTATGATTGTGGCAGGCCTGGATCCCCAAGGCATACAGATAATATGGCTTCCAGGTATGATACTGCCCACAGTCACATTTTTGTGAGATGAGTGGGCATATAAATATGGTAAATAAATAAATATTAATTATGCAATTCTATCTTTTACTATATTGTTGATGTTAAGAAACCGGTAAAAGTGAATAAAGAGGAATACTGTATCTGATCTAGCACCTACAGCAGTACTGTAGATAAGTTGTCACATTCTTTTATTGCTGGAACACTTTCATGTTGTTTGTATAGGTCTCAGATTGTGCAGGTTTTTTCTGTGAAAAGGTTCTCTTTGCAGAACAGGCTGTAGTTGTGGTTTTAAAAAATAAAGCAGTGCCAGAGAGGGAAAAAATATTAAAAGAGAGTATATATAAGTTTTCATATTAAATCTTAGGCCTTGCTGTTACAGTTCTAAATGGCGACCTTTTATTTCCATAGTGCAAAGAGCTTGCCAAGTCTAAGGCAGAGGTTGCCTGCATTGCTGTGTATGAAACAGATGTGTTTGTGGTGGGCACTGAGAGAGGAAGAGCCTTCGTCAATACAAGAAAAGATTTTCAGAAGGATTTTGTGAAGTATTGTAAGTCTGAATCAGAAGTTCACAGACTTTTTAACTTACTTGTGCAGTTGATTAGAATCTGCACATAAACATTTTTGCTCATGTAACATTCCTTTTATGTCTAGTAATACTGTAAATAAATAAGGTGAGCTATTTTGAGAACATTCATGCAACATTCATGTGACCATTTTCTGTAGCAGAAGGGAACAGACTATGCATTTAGTAGCATTATACTTCCCCCCCCCCAACAGAAAGTAGGGCAATATAATATGTCTTACTATAATTGCAAATTGTGGTGCTGAGTATTGAGAGGACCAGTGAGGAATGAACAATTGACATGCTTAGATTATGGGTTGTTAAGGACATTGGAAAAATGTCCAATTAGTGGGTTTTCAGAAACAGAATATTGGTATCTCATATTTTCTCTAAAAAGTGAACCCCCCCAAAAAAATCTTCTGAAAATTATATATAAAAAATTAGTCATACATTACATATGTAATGATAATTTACAGAAGTTCATCAAAGTAGTATCAAACCCATAATGCAAGTAGTGTTTCTAAATAATGCCTTTTTCCCAAACAACTGTATTCCTAGATATCTAATTCAACAATGCTGGTTGTGTAAGAAAATTTATTTTATATGATTTATTTCTATAGAGCCATGGTGACACAGTGGTTAAAATGCAATATTGCAGGCTACCTCTGCATTCCCACTGCCAGGAGTTCAATCCTGACCAGCTCAAGGTTGACTCAGCCTTCCATCCTTCCGAGGTTGATAAAATGAGGACCCAGATTGTTTGGGAGCAAGATGCTGACTCTGTACCACCTAGGGAGGGCGCTAAAGCACAATGGAACAGTATATAAGTCTAAGTGCTATTGCTATTATTGTGGCAAGGTCGTGTGAACACAAGAAAGGGGATGTCTGAGAAAGGTCTTAATATATGGATAGACTCGTGATTTAAATTAGTTTATGAACAGTTTCAGATTTCATAATTTCTTCCTAGGTATTAATGAAGAGGCAAAAGCTGTAGAATTGCAGAAGACAAAATCATCCTCTCTTGATAACAGAATGACTGTGGATGTTGTGGAAATGGAAGCTCTCAGGAAGTCTGTGGAGGATTATTTCTGTATTTGCTACGGTAAATATTTAATTTTAAATGCAAATTGCTTTTCAGAGCAGAATTGTGATGTTTCTCATTCTAGATTTAAATGCAGTTGATTTTGATTTGAGGAAGGCAGTTAAACCATCAAGATGGAACGCATGATTTGAATTCTAATTCAGTGATGAATGCGAGTTGCTGTCTGTTTCATGGGATTGGTATTAATTAACTAGGTATATATAGTCGGTTTTATTCCTTTTAAGAACTATACAGTAAAGGCATTTTATAAATTCCTATATAAATAAAATATACATTGTACATAAAGTTAACCTCATTATAACTAATATCATAATGAATTAGTTCTTGAGCATGCTTTTTATTCTTTCCAAACCAGCAGAATGTTGGAAAGAACTTAGGTTAAAAAAATCTCGGTCTCTACATTGATTTCAGCAGGTTAACTCTATGAAAACAGAACAGGACCAAATTTGATGTGATGAAAAAAACTGAATTTGACTGCTCCATTCAAAACTCAAAGATGCAATTTGAGGAAAAAGCAGAAATGTCCCCCCCAAAACCTTACACACTAATCTTGGTTAGAGTCATACATTGTCAGACAATCACATTGTCTGATTTGGAAAGAATTTATTTGCAAATTATGGTGGAAAATAAGCATTTGGTCACCTACAAACAAGCAAGATTTCTGGCTCTCACAGATCTGTAACTACTTCTTTAAGAGGCTCCTCTGTCCTCCACTCATTACCTGTATTAATGGCACCTTTTTGAACTTGTTATCAGTATAAAAGACACCTGTCCATAACCTCAAACAGTCACACTCCAAACTCCACTATGGTGAAGACCAAAAAGCTGTTGAAGGACACTAGAAACAAAATTGTAGACCTGCACCAGGCTGGGAAGACTGAATCTGCAATAGGCAAGCAGCTTGGTGTGAAGAAATCAACTGTGGGAGCAATAATTGGAAAATGGAAGACATACAAGACCACTGATAATCTCCCTCGATCTGGGGCTCCACGCAAGATCCCACCCCGTGGGGTCAAAATGAACACAAGAACGGTGAGCAAAAATCCCAGAACCACACGGGGGGACCTAGTGAATGACCTGCAGAGAGCTGGGACCAACGTAACAAAGGCTACCATCAGTAACACACTACGCCGCCAGGGACTCAGATCCTGCAGTGCCAGACGTGTCCCCCTGCTTAAGCCTGTACATGTCCGGGCCCATCTGAAGTTTGCTAGAGAGCATTTGGATGATCCAGAAGAGGATTGGGAGAATGTCATTTGGTCAGATGAAACCAAAGTAGAACTGTTTGGTAGAAACACAACTCGTCGTGTTTGGAGGGGAGAGAATGCTGAGTTGCATCCAAAGAACACCATACCTACTGTGAAGCATGGGGGTGGCAACATCATGCTTTGGGGCTGTTTCTCTGCAAAGGGACCAGGACGACTGATCCGTGTACAGGAAAGAATGAATGGGGCCATGTATCGTGAGATTTTGAGTGCAAACCTCCTTCCATCAGCAAGGGCATTGAAGATGAAACATGGCTGGGTCTTTCAGCATGACAATGATCCCAAACACACCACCCGGGCAACGAAGGAGTGGCTTTGTAAAAAGCATTTCAAGGTCCTGGAGTGACCTAGCCAGTCTCCAGATCTCAACCCCATAGAAAACCTTTGGAGGGAGTTGAAAGTCCGTGTTGCCCAGCGACAGCCCCAAAACATCACTGCTCTAGAGGAGATCTACATGGAGGAATGGGACAACATACCAGCAACAGTGTGTGCCAACCTTGTGAAGACTTACAGAAAATGTTTGACCTCTGTCATTGCCAACAAAGGATATATAACAAAGTATTGAGGTGAACTTTTGATATTGACCAAATACTTATTTTCCACCATAATTTGCAAATAAATTCTTTCCAAATCAGACAATATGATTGTCTGGATTTGTTTTCTCATTTTGTCTCTCATAGTTGAGGTTTACCTATGATGACAATTACAGGCCTCTCATCTTTTTAAGTGGGAGAACTTGCACAATTGGTGGCTGACTAAATACTTTTTTGCCCCACTGTAGGTAATATATGCACATTTGCTGAGTTCCTGCAGAGAAAGTGTGCTGATATGCATATGTCTACACACAGATTCAACTTGTACTCCCTCCCAAAACCCCCTGCTTTTAGGATTGACTTAAAATCTTTATCTGCCTCATTCACGAAATTTATAACTAAACCCCACAAAATCAAATATAGATGATAAATGCTTCCACAAAGGATAACTAGGGGTCAAAGCTCACTAAAATAATTAAGCCTTGGAATGCTTATGGGCATACAGAATGCTTATAATCACATAGAGGCTAAATGCACCTTTGAAGAGAGACTTTCATAATGTGGGAGATGCTACAGAGAAGGCATGTCATAATAATAAATAAAGGTGATGCTACAGGGTAAGGCTTTCCTTTGAAGTATACCAGCTGCTCATTTAAAAAGAAAAAGAAAGCCAGCAGTCTGTGTGGATAATTAGTTATGTTCACAGTGCCAGATCAGAGAGCTCCATTGGAGACCTGAGGGCTAGTGAGTAGTTAAACTATTTATTTCATCTACATAGAAAGAATTATTGGCTGATTTTTGTTTCAGAACAAGTTCACGCATCAAAGAAAAGGACACATTTGCTATTGTTTTGTTGTTTTACGAACAGAAATGTTACCTCATTGGTACAAATTGATTTTCTCCTATCTAGGTAAAGCTTTAGGAAAATCAACAGTAGTTCCTGTGCCATATGATAAGATTCAGAGGGATCCATCTGCTTTGATAGTACATGGGCTTCCAGAAGGACTTGCTTTTAAGCATCCCTCCAGCTATGATGTCACAACACTGAAGTGGATTTTGGAGAACAAATCTGGGATCTCATTTGTCATCAAAAGGTACAAACTGAATTTCGTTTTCTATTTCCTGAGATACTTTGAGCTTGCAGCAAAATGTTCTTAAATCACTTTGCATAATAAAGTGTAAATATGGATTATTAAAGCCATTTAACTTTCTAGCAGGATAGCTGTTCCCATGTAGAAACAGACTCCCATGCAAACCTATGCAGATTCCTGGAGAGCAACCCTTCCCAGGAAGAACATATCCTTCCTAGTTCAAAAGACCAAATTTGGGAATAGATTGGATGCTTTTATGAGGAGGACAGATCATTATCACTACATATTTTTTCTCTTCAGATAATTCAGTAGCGGTTAGAAACTTCTAAGAAATCAATTGTTCTGGCATTGGAAAAGAGGAACATTTTAGTAAAGAACAGTGATTTCACAGAATCACCAAGACTTCTCTATAAAGCTTTAAATTAATTTGTAATAGTTTGGAAATTTCCTTTCTAAAACTGAGAAATGATATTCAGCTGTGAATCAGATATGTTTGTTTATGATACTATTTCCACCATTCCTTCATCTTCCTTCTATGGTCCAAAATGGACCTTGTAACATTGGTTGTAGGAAATATGGAGAAAATACTGAAGATGTGATCTGAACCCTCTTAAGGCTGTTATCATGTTTATAAATAGAACTTGTAGAATAATAGAATTTGTTCTTTCTTTATGTAGGCCTTTCCTTGAGCCAAAGAAACATTTAGGTGAGTCTTAATTTGATCTAAATTAAAAAAATCATTTTCTATACAGTACCAATTATATTTCTGTAGTTTTTTTTAACATAAGTTGATACCTGAAAAGAAGTGTACAATACTGAAAGTTCTAGTTTTTGTGAGACCAGAATAATTTTCTTGGTTTCGCCACCCCCCCTCCCCCCAGACATCTCATGCATAAATTTATTTTTGGTAGTCTCTTATAGTAAAGCAAATCCTATTGTTGAGAAGCTATGTATGGTAATGGTCTCAGATATTACAGACCTTAAAATGTATGACTGGAAAGCCTGGATAGAGTGGGAGGAAGACTTTGTGCATAAGCATTACAGCACCTCTTTTTAGATAATCAAAGAAACTGTCATTTGCAAAGTTAGCCTGGCTGTTTCACAACTTATTCCCTATACATCTGTATATACATTTGTATATATGCACTGGAGACAAATTCCTTGGGTGTCCCATCACACTTGGCCAATAAGGAATATTCCTATTCCTATATGTATGTGAGTGCTGTATTGCTTCTGAAGTAGCTGCTGGACCCTGCGAATGACATAATTTTTTAAAAGGTGTTTTTTGTACATCTCCTACATGTTGCAACACATCTCTTTATAAGATTTTGCAGTTGCTTATTCATATTGAAAAAATATATGCTATCAGAATTTTCAGTAATGATAATTTGGAAGGAATAGAGCCTTGAATAACATTACCATGACACAGAGTCTTTACCATTAGAATTTGGGGGGAGGTACAAAATTCTCCTGACAAAATTCTGAATGAATTTACAGAGAGATAAAAGTGGATAGTCCAGATATTTTTTAACACAATCAAGAGCTATCGATGCTAAATGGAACTGTAAAAGTTCTATACAATTACATAGTGACAGGAAAAATATGAGTTTTCTTCATCAACTGTATTATTTTACATTTATATTACATTTATATTCTATATTCACTTTAGTGTGTGTGTGTGTGTTATTAGATTCTTTTTTCTTTTTTTTTTCAGGCCGTCTTTCAGATTCATCACACATGATGACATCTCCAGGTGTAAGGTATAAATCATTTTATGGCTTTTTAATTTTTTTTTCCTACAGTTTTTCTACAAACAGTACAATAGTATTTTTTCCAGTGTCAAAACATGAGGTGACAATATTCAGTATTTATCTTCTATCTTTTATCTGTAATTCACAAGTCTGTGAATTACAGCTAAATTCACAGATGACAGATTTGTAAGATTATCATAACAACCCTAACACTAAAAATTTAATTTTATGGTTTAAAATCAGGGTTTGAGTTTAGTGCCAGAACACCTACAACTGGCTTGTGCAAATCATCTAATGAGGAATTTGGATTGAGTTTCATATCAGATGCAATTGTCTAAAAGTTTGCTATAACTATTTTAAGGCCCTTTCAAAGCCTTCTAAGCATAGGAAATCTGGAAGGAATATTTATTTTAGCATCCTGGACAGCCAGTTAGCCTAGTGAGTGCTAATTTAGTTGAATGAAACAACAAAATAAATTCATATGATATATTATACTCACCGAGAATTGTCTATTCTCTGTTTGTCTAGTTGCTCTTCCATTCAGGTGAAGACTGAACCCAATGAAGATTCTGGTACGCATTTCTGTTTCTTTTGAAAATAACAATTCCTTGCAAAAAAATAAAAAAACTTTTTTTAAAAAAGAGTCAGCACTGACTTCAATGGCACATAATCAGTTATCTTATATTGACATTGTTGAGTGTCCATGTGTTGCATAAACTTGGGCTTTAACATGTTAATTGCAGTTAACTCAGAATGTGTTGATTTTTTTTAAAGCATATGAAACAGCAAAGGATGAGCATTCATTTAGATTCCTAATTACCCATGTAAATGGAATATTAATTGTTTTTATTTCAGGACTCGAGATGGTAACAGTTAAAGAAGAATCAGAAGACCCTGATTATTATCAATTTAATATTCCAGGTAACAGTGAATATGAACCTTCTTTTATACAGTCTGAAATCTTGAATGGTAAATTGTGCAGGCAAAAAAACGGAATGAAGGACAACATAGTTGGAAAACAACATAGGGTTTCAGTTCCAGTATAATCATTATAGTATTTGAAGCAGAACTTATTTTGGTTTAGGTGACCCTTGTCTGGTTCCTGCTCATTTGTGTGCTGCATTTGCTCCCTATGCACCGTTGTTTATGGCCTCCTCCCCCATTTCTTAAAAATTGAGTGGTGTTTGTGGGTGTTTTAAATAAATTAAAGTATAATAACTATCCTATCAATAGTCAAACTTGCTGCCAAATACTAAGTATTACAAATGTGTCATGTTGGAGGGAAGAATGGAAGGATAGTCTGCATGCGGCAGTGCCATATGAAAGTTTTATATATTTATTTATTTGTTCAACTTGTATGCCGCCTTTCTCCGAAGACTCCGATATATCTCAACACTTTATCAATTCTTATTAATGATAGCTATCAAAAACTATGTGGGCTTGTGTACTTTTATTTATTTAAAAGACACAAAGCCACCCTTGTTATGGACCATAATTTTGGTCTGCTTTCAAACATCAAAAGTCATAAAAACACATAAAACCTGCCAGTTCCTCCCAAAACAACACCCCACACATATCAATAATAACTTTATCAGGCTCTACTGCAGTGTTTGACATAAGAGCCAGCTTTTCAAGGCTTTCTAGAAAGCTAGATGGATAGTAGCTTATCAAAGTTCAGGAGGAAGAATGTTCCAAAGCGTAGGAGTTGCTACCAAGAAGACACTTCCGAGGCCAAGCTAGACAGCAGAAGGCCCTCCACCTTATCTGTCCTGGTGAAATAATCACTTTGCTTAAAAATTACGGGGAAACTGTTTTTGCCCTCTTGGAATATCCATTTGGAAGTGGCATCCTGATTGCAAGCTGTACATACATGGGATTAGCATGGTTTAGTTGACATACTTTGGCATACAATTAAGGACTAATGAATTGTGTAAATTTGTAATGGAGCTTTTGCAGTAGCTGTATACAAATTATTCTGAAAATCATTTCAAAGGACAGCATCATTCGACTTGCCCTATCGGGGACATGGGTAGCATATATATTCAATAAATAAGTAATTGTTGAATGATCCCAGCCTAATGTAGTTTCCTGGGGCTAGGGTTTAAAATAAAGGCACAGAATTGAGTAACCTTTAGAAAGGTAAGCAGGTCTAAATCTGATTGGTACTTGGGTGGGAGACCTCCTTAGAGCCCTCTTTTATGTCACACTAAACTTTACAATGGAAGATAAGGGTTATATATTATTTAAAAATGTAGTTTCATTTCTTCCTTCCATAATTTACATTTATCTTACAGGAGGCAATTTTAATGAAAAGCTAGTCATGTTCAGTATCCTTTGTTGCAGTATTTCTTCTTTCTCCTTCCATTCCCCTGATCCAGATAAGAGTTTTGTAGTGCCCTTTTGGGCTGGTTTGTAGTGCCCTTAAAAAAAAAAAAGACCCATTCTGAGCAAGATGCTCTGTGAGGAGACAAACATTGAGGATGGCGAATGCTAACTGGACAACTGTCCAATTGTGACCCGTCGCCTAGTGCTGGCATTGCAAAACATCACAGCAAGGTTGGTTTGCACCAAATGCTGAAAATAGTGTGTATGAGCTGACAACAGAAACGGTATAGGATGGAAGTGTTAAAGCATGGATATTCTTTACAGAACCATATCAGGCTTTGTTTATGCAGCCAAGAAATAACAACATTAAAACCTACTTTGCTTACATATATCTACTTTCATGTCTTGAGAATAATACCACATTGCTCTGTTCTCCAATCTCTATAGTCCTTGAAGCCTTCAGTTATAACAGGCGGTAGTGAAATCATAATCTTTTATCAAGGGCAAGTGATACATGTATAGGGCTGTGGTTCCTTTCTGTAGACTTTCTGTAGACTTTATTATATTTTATTTCATAAAATAAAACTATATTAGTGATGGTGATCACTATACAAAAATAGTAGTGATGATGATACTATACATTGTCAAAGAGAAAAAAACCCCTAAAGTTAACAAAACAAAAAAGTGAAAAAAATATGACAAAGAAAAAAATATAAAATAATTACAATTTCAATATATATCTAATGCAAATTTATCAAATGCAAATCTTATTGAAGTACATATATATTTCTGTACATTTATACCCTTTTTTAAACTTACTGTATTCTGAAGGTCCCATGTTTCATTATACTTATTTCTACAAGTGAAATGTATGACTCCATTTAGTCAATGGATTGAACACCTGATTGAATTTATGAAGCTACAGACATAGACATAAGCAACCTATTGACTTTAAAAAGTAGCTGTTTGGATTTTAGAAGAGATGCAGATCGGGCATTTGAAAGCAATTTCTTAATATGTAACTGACCTTTTTCACTCTGTGCCTACAGAGTTGAAGATTTCTGAAGTACCCTTAGACAGTTTCCATTGAACCATAAATTTTAAGCAAAATCTTACGGTGCGAATCTCATGAGACTTCAACGCATTGTCACATTAAATTCCCAAAATTTCATGATTTTTTTTTTTTTTTACAAAATAACATTGCAGAATAACTTCCATCTATTTATTTGCAAAAGGGCATAAAGAAGCCCTTCGCAGGCAAGGCATACCTAATTGAAAATTCATTACTGTTCTAAAATGCCTTGAATTTGGATTTAAGAGGTCACCTTGGATAAATGGACACTATATACAAGCATATGAATCACTGATAAATGATCCCAACAGTATAGCCAGAAGACTGTACCTAATCTTGCTTACTGACACTGGAGAGTGTTCCTGTCTTTATATTTCATCACAGTTTTCTCTGTTGATGGGATTTGTCGTGAGATTGATAGTTGGTTAAAAGTCCATTCTTATATACAGAAGAAAAAAGACAGCTGAGTAACAATTGCCCCCAAGAAAATAATTGTATAAGTCTTGCATTAAGATGCTGGCTGAAGAAGTTCTTATCTGTCTTTCTTGCTGCATTGGAAACAATCTGGAATTCAAATAGTAATGAAAGGGCATTCAAAATGGAAATTCCATTGGCTAGATTTGCAAAATATATTCATGTTTCTATGCTTTCCATGTCAAATGAAGTTTTTAAAGGATGGACCGAAAAGGATATTAAAACATTGTGTGTCTATTTAGATAACAGGTCAACAGAGGAAACTTACCAACAATTTAGTGTTATCTGAAGTGATAAACTGTGGTTTATACAGTTTGTTAAAATTGAATTGGAAGCCATGGAATTATGTAGTTATGCCCATTGCTTGACTCCCAGAAATTATGTGCAAAGATTAATGTGTTGAATAAATAGGCAACTTTAAATTACTGCTTGTTTTAATGGTGCTGAAATGGTATGGAGTGCAATATAATTTGCTTTCATTCTAGGATCCTGCGGTAAATGACTCTTGGAATTCTTCACACTGCTGTAATTCTTAATTGTATTTCCATGTTACATCAAAAATGCTGAATACAAATACTTCCCATAGATGCCCACCATAATCTTCTCACCTACCATATTTTTCACACTATAAGACACACTTTTCTCTCCCCAAAAAGTGGGTGTAAATATCTCTGTGTCTTACAGAGCGAATATTGCGGCGGGAGGGAAGGGGTTAGTGCAATGGTAGTGTTTACTGTCATTGCCTGTCACTGCTGCCGCTGTTTGCCGCTGCCGCGGAATGCTAGAGTTTTCGCTGCCGAGCAGCTGATTGGCGGTTGGATCGGCCTCCTGGAATACTGCCGATCAGCTGTTCTAGGTGGTGGGGATTGCCGCCACCTATCAGCGATAGGCAGTGATCCCCGCCACCTAGAACAGCTGATTGGCGGTATTCCAGGAGACCGATCCAACCGCCAATCAGCTGCGCTCGGCAGCGAAGGCTCCAGTGTTCCCTGGCGGCAGCTCAGTTCGGAGCGGAGCCCTGACAAGCCACATGCTGGGGCTCTAATAACGTGCGGAAGCTGACCAGGCTGTTTGCTGTTTGCTGCAAGGACGCTAGCCAGATGAATACCAGATGGATTCTGGGAGGCAGAGGCAGATTTTTTTTTCTTGTTTCCCCCCTCTAAAGCTAATGTGCGTCTTACGGTCCAGTGCGTCTTATAGTGAGAAAAATACGGTATTTAGAAAATGTATATGGCCACTCATCTGAGACAAATAATTCTAGGTAGTAACAATATAAGCAATATAAATCTCAATGAAAAATATAATTAATAGCAAATATATTAGCTATAAGAGCTGAAAAATCTCACAAAAAATTGACAATCCCAAATATGCTTCAGCTTCTGCCAGCAACTCAGCCCCAATGTCTTAAGACAGGGGTGTCAAACTGGTGGGCCACGGGCCGGATGTGTTACACACAGGTCATGCCCACCGCAGCTCCACGAAGGGAAAAAATGAGATACCTCACGTGAGAGCAATGTGATGCGCCGAGTTTGACACTCGTCTAAGAGAATCATAGCCCAGATTTTCATAGCCCTCTGGAAGGCCAACAGAATCGGAACCATCTGGATCTCAGAAGGAAGGTTGTTCTTTAGAGTGGGCATCATGATAAGGAAGGCATATCTCCTGGATCCAACAGGATTGCATTGTTTCATTGAGGTGACCCGAACATGCCT